GGCATCAGACCCTTGGAGCATGTCCCAGGCGTGCCAGGTGTTCTAGGTCTACGAACAGGTGCATTCTGCCCGGTCGCAGCTCAGGGCGTCGGACCCTTGGAGCATGTCCTAGGCGTGCCAGATGAAGCAGGTCTGCCTGCAGCTGTCACTCCTGCCCTATCCACGTCCTTGAAAAGCCCGGCTGAAGGCCCTCCGGCCTCCAACACGACTACCATCTCTGAACCTGCCACGGGCTCAAATGCCAGTCTCCCAAACCTCCAGGCGATTTCTGAGAAGAAGGGTGAGGTAATCCCAGCTGCCCAGGCTTGTCCTGCTTGGCTTCCACGCCTTTCAGCCACTCGAGCTGATCCAAGTCCTAGGATCACTTCCGGACCTTCCCAGCTTAAGTCAGTTGAGCCCGCGGTCATCGAAAACATAGAAGCTCATCTGGCGGACCTCGACGCCAATGGGCGCAAGTTGGAGATCACTCACACAGCTTCTCCAAAGGAGGCCAGGCAGCACTTGGAAAAATGGAAGGAATCGATGGAGGAAGAACTGAATGGTCAGTTGGCTTCAGGTTGTTTGACTCGCCGAGACGGAGAGGAAGCACGACAGCTTTTGAAGCGTCCGGATGCTGAAGTCTTGAGCAGCCTGAATGTGTGGACCGTCAAGCCACCCAAGCCCAACAGCAACAAGATGTACAGGCGAAAAGTCAGGACCGTGGCCTGTGGAAATCAAAGCGAGGTCACCAGTGAAGTGAACACTTACGCCTCCGGTGCCAGAGCTGAGTATGTCCGGTTAGCTTTGAGCTTGGCAGCAAACAACGGTTGGGATGCCTTTACAACAGACATCTCCCAGGCGTTCCTGCTGGCGCCAAAGCCAGAGCAGCGAACCATACTTCTCCGACCAACCCGGGAGCATGTGTCATTAGGGTTGGCCTCCCCCACGGAACTGTGGGAAGTCAACCGGGCAGTCTACGGACTCCGGGAGAGTCCAAAGTGGTGGTCAACCTACCGGGATAGTTGTCTCCGTACCGCAGCGTGGGACAACTATCACCTTGAAGCCACTTCGTGCGATTCCATGTGGACTGTCAAAGATGACAAGGGTGCCACCTGTGGCATAGTTGTCACATACGTTGATGACTTCTTGATCCTTGGTAACCGCGCAATGGCCTCTGGATTCCGTTCGCACCTTTCCTCAGAGTTTGGGTGGGCCTCGTCAGAACTTGAAGGTTGCGAGCAGCCAGGAGATAGTTGAAGTTCTTGGGAATGGAGATTGAAAGGCTTCCTCAAGGTTATCGTGTGCACCAACGGCCTTACATCGAGCAACTCCTGTCTGCTTACGATGTCGGCCACCCTGTGAGGACACCTCTGCCACGAATTCAGGAGGAGCCAGACGTGGTGCCCTCCTCGCCAGAATCCTTGAAGCAAGCGCAAAAAGTGCTGGGAGAGCTCTTATGGATCTCCCAGCGTTCTCGTCCTGATGTCAGTTTTTCAGTATCTCTGCTTGCATCATGGGTGCATCGCAACGCGCAGGATGTGATAAAGTTGGCCCTCCGTGTGCTTTCATATGTGGCCACGACTAAGGAGGAGTGCTTGCATTTTGAACGCCAGAGTTCCCGTGGAGAGCCACCACTCGTGTGCTACACCGACGCATCGTTCTCGCCATATGGCGGTCGGTCGGTTTCGGGCTTAGCTATAGTGGTTCAGGGCTGTCTCGTTTCGTGGCGGGCAAATAAGCAGGCTTTCGTGGTCTTATCCTCCTCGGAAGCAGAGCTGGTGTCTGCAACCGAAGGAGTCGTTCAGGCCCAGAGTCTCATGCCCCTCCTCCAGGAGTTGGGAACCACCTGTAAGCAGGTTGCACTGCGGGTGGACAACACCTCGGCAATCCACCTCCTTCATGGGCGGGGAGCCAATAGAACCCGTCACCTTCGTGTCAGAGCCGCATACGTGTCGGAGTTGATCGAATCTGGCGAGGTCGCGGTTGAGCACCAACCGGGGAAGGAGCAGTTAGCTGACGCTTTCACAAAGATTCTCCCTTCACCTCGGTTGTGTTTCTTGAAACAGCTGTTAAAGCTCCGCTCTGAGAACCCCGGTCCGGACCTGGGAGAGGACACTGTGGATGAAGATACTTTTGCAGATGAAGCCCCGAGTCCGCAAATTGCCTCAGCGGATGTCGCCAGGGATTTGTCAAGTCCCCGTTCTGTGGCTTCTCCTTCTGTGCTTGCCAGCGTGTCAAGATGGTTGACTGGGCTAGTGACGTTTTGCCAGGCTACCTCATGTGCTGGGGAAAGGGCACTCACCGTTGCACCCGGGGTTGAGGAGGAGGCGGCGGAAGGAGTCCCCTTAGGAATCCGAGTGGATTTCACACTGGCCACCTACCTTGGACTGTTGATTGTGTTGCTAGTTGCCCTATGCTGCTGGGAAGGGGTGCATCGATGCCGTCGACCACAGCCTCTTACCGCGCAAGCCAAGGCTGTTCGACACCAGACCCGAAAGAGCAAGAAAATTGAAGAGAAAGTGCAGGAGGCTGTGGCTCGGGAGATCCAAGGTCTTCGCCATCGAGGCGCAGCCCAAACCTCTTCCGGGGCTCCAGCGTCTCCTGAGAGCGAGTCAGCCTCTACCTTGGAGCAATCTGCCCCTTCGTCCCAGCTCTCTTCTTCAGCAGGCCGTTCAGCCGAAGTTCCTGCTTTAACTTTCGGGCCGGTTGTTCAACCGATATCTTCGGACTCTCAACCTCCGTCGAGCACCTCCCTCCCATTTTCCAAGTCAAGGGCTGCCCCAGCCAGTAGCGCTCGGAGCAGTCACCAGGCTTCACCGCATCTCTCCGAGCGTGTTCCGACGATGGTCAATCCCATGAGTGCCGTGACTCCCGGGCCCTCGAAGGGCTCTCATGTTCGACCTCCAACTCTTGTGGACCAGGAGGTGCAAACCGTGCACTCCGGTGACCTGGCAATTCCTTTGTCTGCCTTAAACCGAGGCATTCCCACCGGATCAATCATGACCACCATGCAGCGAGGTGGAGTTGTTCACCTGTACGATGACTGTTCATCGCTGGGCGTTCCAGCCTACCGGCAGACTCGCACTTTCTGCCGAACCTGTCTTCATAGGGTAGGGTTGGGTAATCCATAGGATAGGCTCCTTTGGTTGATCTCCACCATATCCCTCTCGCCTTCGGACTTTCTGTGTCATTTCTTCTTTCCTCGTTCGTTTCGTTGTCGTGTGGGCACCGGCCTGGCTTAGTGGTTTAGGTCGGGTGTGTCAGGTACAGTGGTACGGCCCTTGCGGTAGTACCAAGGAGGAGTGTTAAAGGACACCCCCTCCCCTTTTCCATCTTTCTACCCCAAGGGTGAATCTTTGATACGGATGCTTGTTCGGGCTCAGGGGTGGCTACGGGAAAGAAGGCCCCTTGGGACGAACATTCAAACATGCAGACATGTACAGCATAATGCAAGTAGAAGCTTCGCATTCATGAGCACTGCTTTCTCTCAGCTTGTTGTTGCGACATTGAGAAAAGTCCGATTCGTTCTTGCATGGCTGGGAGTTGCCCTCGCTGGTCTGGTATTGGGAACGATACTGGAGAAGATTAGCAGGCCCATCTGTGCATTGGACTGACACGCACAACTCAAGAAGTGCACCAACATCCTTTTCTTTGGCTGAGATATCTGCTGAAGATCTACGTATATATGTGGTCTTGATTGAATACTTCAGACATCTTTGTTTCATCGTTATGTAAGTAGAACCGCTTCTATTTCCATTATTGTGCATTTTTAAGCTTGCTCATGCAAATTGTGCTTTTCGGACATAGTATATAAGTGATCTTTAGTGAATACTTCAGCAATCTTTGTCTCATTGTTATGTAGGTAGAACCGTTTCCATTTCCGCAAGTGTTTATTTCGTATTTGGTTGAGTATGGTCCTTTAAATAGTATTCACTTGAGTCAAATTGGGCTATTTGCTTAAGAATTCCTCTAGTAGTTAAATTCGCATAGAATGAATACTTCAAAAAAATTGTTTCATGAATATGTAAACATAAGGTGTTTCATTTGACTTTGCAGATAGTACTTCAATAATACTTTGCCTGGTATAAACACAACTGTTTCAATGCATTAGTTGCTCAACAAAGCACTATTTGCCCTTTAAACCACACTTTGCCATATTTTGGTTGAATATGGTGCTTCTTTCGTATTTTGGTTGAGTATGGTCCTTTAAATGGTATTCACTTGAGTCAAATTGGGCTATTTGCTTAATAATTACTCTAGTAGCTAAATTCGCATGAAATGACTATTTCAAAAATAAAAACGATTCATGAATATGTAAACATAAGGTATTTCAGTGGACTTTTCAGAGAGCATACTTTGCCTAGTACAGACACAATTGTATAAATACAGTATTTGCACTTTAAACGCACACTTTGCAGTTTTTTGGTTGAGAATGGTGTTTATTTCGTATCTTCGTTGAGTATGCTCCTTTAAATAGTATTCACTTGAGTCAAATTGGGCTCTTTGCTGAATAATTACTCTAGTAGCTAAATTCGCATAGAACCAAGAAAAATGTTTCACTATTTGATTAATACTTTGCCTCGTACAAACACAATTGTATAAATAAATTAGTTGCTCAACAAAACATTAATTGCCCTTGGAAGGCACAATTTGCATAGAAAAAACACTGATCTAAACATCTAAAAACAGCATTGTCCGCTTCAGATTCAAAATGTAGATTCTTCCAATGCTGGCTTATCGGGGTCTGTGAGGTGGGTGTCCCAGTAACTGTCCTTCATTACCCGGTGATTAACTACGCGACTTTTGGGCCTTCTTTGTTATTCTTTGTTAACAAGGCCTAAAAAGGCCTAAAAAGGGTAGGTCGCTGGGGGGGGGGGGGGTAGCGTACATATATATATATATAATATATACACACATATATATATATATATTATATTTCCATTTTTCTTGCTTGACCTTTCTAAACCATACGGTGCCTCCAGGCCTCCAGGTCCCCTTTCCTGCCTCAATGGCATCTCCAGGTCCCTCTCGGGTGGCTCGTCCAACGTGGTCAACGAGGTCTTGCCACAAGTGCTGCTGGGAATCGCACCTGATGCCGTTTAGGGTTTAGGGTTTAGGGTTTAGGGTTTAGGGTTTAGGGCAGCCCCCCCACCCCCCCCCAAAAGCTGAAAGGCCCGAAGCCCCAAACCCAAGTCCTCGACTTGAAAGGCCAAACGCCCAGCCTCCGGTTTCTTCCAGGGCGCTTAGGGTCCAGGGCTGAAGCCCTCAGCCCTCAGCCCCAGAACCCTCGAGCGTTTAGGGGTTTAGGGGTTTAGGAATTTAGGGGTTTAGGGGTTTAGGTGTTTCCGGGTTTCGGGGTTTAGGGGTTTAGGGGTTTAGGGGTTTTTGGGGTTTAGGGTTTTAGGGTTTTAGGGTTCAGGGTTTAGACCTTTATGCCTTATGCCTTCAATCCCAGGCAAGTGGACATGGTGTCCTACAGCTGCTCGGTCCACTTTGGCGCATAACCCGAAGCCACCAACTGCCGGCTTCTGTTGTTCTTTGGTTGCGTGCCTCCCAACACCTAAGATCGATCTTTTTAGGGTTTAGGGTTTAGGTTCCCTTATAACCCCATTTAAACCAAAAAGGGCACCCCCTTTTTTTTCCTAGGTTACTCCTGGGATCTCCTGGGTCTAGAACCCTAAACCCTAGACCCCTTATCAGCTCATCCAGCAAGGAAGTGCTTTCGTGTTTTCTTCTCGGTTCAGGGTGGATGGCCTCGGGACCCTAAACCCTCAACCCCAAACCCTAAACCCTAAACCCTAAACCCTAAACCCGAAACCCTAAACCCTAAACCCTAAACCCTAAACCCTAAACCCTAAACCCTAAACCCTAAACCCTAAACCTAAACCCTAAACCCTATTTGTAGCGTGTTGGGACTTTGTCAGGGCTCAGGGTCGTTCAGTGCCTTCTAGGTACTGCACCCCCAGTTTGCCTCCACCCCTGCCTAGGGCTAGGGGGCGCTATCCCTAAACCCTAAACCCTAAACCCTAAACCTTAAACCTTAAACCCTAAACCCCAAACCCCAAACCCTAAACCCTAAACCCTTAACCCTAAACCCTAAACCCTAACACCTCCTGAGCCTTAAGCCCCTTTCTCCTTAAGCCCCTGGTGTGCAAACATAACTGATCTCCAGCCCCCTGCAGCATTTTTCAGCACGGGACTGTGGCCACGGCCTCCGCAAAAGCGCAGGGCTTGGGGTGTAGGGTTTAGGGTTTAGGGTTTAGGGTTTTGGGCTTAGGGGTTAGGGTTTAGGGCCTAACGTCCAGACTATGGAAGAACATGATGATGCCACAAATGGAAAGCTGAACACTTCTGGCCTTTTGACCTCGGGGGGTTTCAGGGCATGAAGGATTCCGGTTTGGGACTTTCTTGGGAACTTGCAGGATTGAGGTTTAGGGGCTTAGGGCTTAGAGGTTTGGGTTTCGGGACTAGGGCTCCTGGATCTCACGCACAGGGTCTCGAAGGGTTTTGAACGTTCGAGGGATCGTCCCTCGTGTCTCCCGCCATGCCGGAGACGAACGGAGAGGGCGAGGAGGAGGACAGTGCCCAATACCGGTTCTGTGTGCGAGAGACCCGCAGTGTTTAAACTCCTAAATCCCTAAGCCCGGAGCCCTGGCTTGAGAGGTGGTTCCGGGGTTTGAGGATTTTGGATATGTGTGTGCGTGTTTCGTATTGAGAATGGTTGCAAGAAACAGTTGGAGCTAGAGTGGCATGTGTTCTGACCCTGCAAGGTATTTTGGACCGCCACGAACTAAGCCACTGCAGTAGGATGCTAGGACTACGAACCCCCAGGCCCGAAACCTAAACCCATAACCCTAAACCATAACCCTGAACCGATCGAGGTTTCGGTTGGTAGAAGACAGCAGGAAGTTGGTGCCGTGGCCCCTAACCCTAAACCCTAAACCCTGAACCGTAAACCCTAAACCCTAAACCCCAAACCCCAAACCCCAAACCCTAAACCCGAAACCCTAAACCCCTTGTTGTCCCCCAAGTAGCTCACCATAGAATCTCCAAAAACGTAGGGACACTTCGCCCAACCCTCAACCCTCAACCCCCCCCGCTCTCCCCGAGATGATGCCCTGTTAAACCTGATATTACGTTGAGTTTCAAACCGAAGTAACCTAACCTAACCCCTAACCCCTAACCCCTGACCCCTAACCCCTGACCCCTGACCCCTAACCCCTGACCCCTGACCCCTAACCCCTAACCCCTAACCCCTAACCCCTAACCCCTAACCCCTAACCCCTAACCCCGAACCCCGAACCCCGAACCCCGAACCCCGAAACCCGAACCCCGAACCCCGAACCCTCAAACCCTAAACCCTAAACACTAAACCCCAAACCCTAAACCCTAAAGCCTAAACCCGAAACCCTAAACCCCAAACCCTAAACCCTAAAGCCTAAGCCCTAAACCCCAAAAGGACGAAGACCTGGTGTTTCCGGCAGAGCTGGACGAGTTCCTGGAGTTCTGCGTCACCGACGCACGGAAGCCACCAGTTTGGGCTTTGCAAACCCTAAACCCTAAACCCTAAACCCTAAACCCTAAACCCTAAACCCTAAACCCTAAACCCTAAACCCTAAACCCTAAACCCTAAACCCTAAACCCTAAAACCCTAAACCCTAAACCCCAAACCCTAAACCCTAAACCCTAAACCCTAAACCCTAAACCCTAAACCCTAAACCCTAAACCCTACACCCTACACCCTAAACCCTAAACCCTAAACCCTAAACCCTGAACCCTAAACCCTAAACCCTAAACCCCTAAACCCGAATTCGGCAAGTTTGAGCTTGGGGTTCTTAGGCCTTCGTGCCTTAGGGTTGTAGGGGAACCCCAAACCCCAAGCCGAAGCACGAAGCCCCAAACCCTAAGCCCTAAGCCCCAAACCCTGAACCCTATGCCCTTGATCCCAAAGCCCGAACCGAAGCGTTTAGGAATTGGGGTTTCGGCCTGAACCCGAAACCCCCAAACCCCTCAAGCAAAACCCGAAACCCTGAATCCTGAGCCCTACGCCAACAAAGCCGCCACTAAGCCCCAGCAGCCTCCCACCAAGCCCTAAACCTTAAACCCTAAACCCGAAACCCGAAACCCTAAACCCTAAACTCTAAACCCTAAACCCTAAACCCGAAACCCTAAGCCCTAAACCCGCCAAGCCCAAGCCAAGGAGCACGAAGGCGACTGGAATGCCATTAGCCAGGAATTCCTCGAGGTGGGGGGCTTTAGGGTTTAGGGCTTAGGGTTCAGGGGGTTTAGGGATTTTTAGGGTTTGGTTCCCAGGGTTTCAGTTCAAGTTATGGTTTGGGCCCCCCCCGACGGTTTAGGGTTTAGGGTTTAGGGCCTCAACTCCGCACCCTCAGCCCTCAACCCTTAAATCCTACAATCTCACCCCCTTAAATCCTACACCCCAAGCCCCTTAAATCCCCAAACCCCCTAGGCCCCAAACCCGATATGGGGGTTTGCGAAAAAAAAAAGGGTACCCCTAATATCCACCCCTCAATCGTAGGGTTCCTCAAAAAATGAGGACCCCAATATCCCCAAACCCGCTATCTCCTGGCGCACAGATCGCCTCAGAGCTGGAGGAAGGCTTGGCCCAACGCGCGCAGGAGGCTGCGGTGCGGTGGGTGCAGGGATGTAGGGGCCCAGCAGGTCGTAGTTTTTCCTGAGGCTTTGTGGGGGATTTGGGGGTTTGGAGGTTTAGGGTTTAGTTTTAGGGTTTGGGGTTTTAGGGGGGGTTTAGGCGGTGCAGGGTTTAGGGTTTAGGGTTTAGGCGCTTTAGGGTTTAGGGGGGTTTAGGGTTTAGGGTGTTTTGGGGGTGCAGGGTTTACTGTGTGGGGGTTTTAGGGTTTAGGGTTTCAGGGCTTAGGGTTTTAGACAACAAGTCTTGGGGTTCAGGGGTTTAGGAGTGGGGGTTTCGGGTATAGGGTTCAGGTGTTTTAGGGGGGGGCTTAGATTCGGAGTTCGTGGTGAAAGGGTGTATTTCGGGTTATTCATGGGGGTGACTTCCAGTCAGGATTGTGTTTTGAAGCTACCGATTTTGGATGATGTATGATTTAGAACCACTCCCCTTATAGGTCCAGTCGGTTAGGGTTTAGGGTTTAGGGCTTAGGATGCAGGGTTTACGGTCTTTTATTAGGATTGAGGGTTCACATGTTTGTTTTGGCTTGGTGCTCTAGGCTGTTGCTCGTATTGAGTGTCTTTGTATTTCAGGCGGCCCGAAAATCCCCGCACACCTGCAATACCCGCCGTACCCAAAGCAAGGGCGAGGCCTTTGACAGCCTCTGTCCTGAGGTTGCTGCAGTTTCTTTCAATACCTCAGGGGTCCCCCCAGGCTTGTTTGCCGTTTTCTCTGCCGTGCCTGGCAGGGTTCCAGGGTCTGCCATGGTCCATGGCGCTATTGCCAAACGGGATCAACCGATGCGGGGCGTCCCTCAAGGTGACCCCATCTAACCGCTTGCGCTTGCTGACGCCCTGGCGCCCTGGAACTTGCTGGTTCAAGCGACTCAGTCCTGACCTGGCCCACTTGGTGCTATACGGACGACAGAACCATTGCGGTCTTGCGCCAAGGCGACAGGAACTTGCTGCGTCTTGCTCTCGACACCATGCACCGCTTTGATAGGGCACTCGGGTTTGAAATAGACCCTCTATGACTCAGGTTTGGGACGGCTCTAGGGATAGGCACCTCGAAACTCCAAATGGGATTCGTGGCTCAAAGAGCTCCATGCCCAGACCCGAGACCCTGAACCCTAAGTTAGGGTTTAGGGTTTAGGGTTTAGGGCAGCTCCAAACCCAAAGTCCCTAAGCTCGATTTTTTGGCCGTGTAGGGCAGACTTGTGCGAGGATCTGGAAAGTGCCTCCCCCCCCCCCCCCCCCCCCCCCTTCCTTACGGGTTCCTGCATATTACCCAGTCGTAGCACAGGGTCCCCGATCCTTGCAGAACCCTAGGCCCTCCACCCTAAGCCCTAAACCCTCAACTCTAAACCCCAAACCCCAAACCCCAAACCCCAAACCCTAAACCCTAAACCCTAAACCCTAAACCCTAAACCCTAAACCCTAAACCCTAAACCCTAAACCCTAAACCCTAAACCCTAAACCCAAATGAGGCCCTGAGCACCCCCAAGCCTGCAGGTCTTCTCTGCAGAGGGGTTGCAGAGAAGATGGCACCTCTTGCAGAGCGAGGCCTGCAAAACTGAGCAGGGTTTAGGTCCCAGGCCCAAACCCTAAGCCCTAAGCCCTAAACCCCAAACCCTAAACCCTAAACCCCAAACCCTAAACCCTAAACCCCAAACCCTAAACCCTAAACCCTATCAAGGCTTGCCAAGAAAGTATTAGGGCGCTGTCGGGTTTCTGATCGAATGGTGGGGGGGGGGGGGTGTTGTCCAGCTTATGGGGGCTTGCAGTGTTTATGGTGCTTCATCAATGTTTCCGAAAGGTAAGGGACTCCC